CCCAAGCTCCTCTAACTGCCTATCTACTCATGTACATAGCTTGATCAGAGGTCAAGATTGTGGTGCTAATAGGCAATCTGAATTGAATATAACTAGTGATGGAAAGGGGAATAATAGGAAAGCTTTCTTTTTTCACCAAAAGAACGGCATAGAAACGGAAATATTGGCAAAGAAAAGCAAAAGATCTGGGGAAGGAGTAGCTGTGTAACGATTGCAGATCCAGAGGCGAGAGCAGAAAGGGAACATGAGATTTTCTGCAATAGAGCATGAGGAAGTAGTGGCAAAGAAAAGCAAAAGTCTCCTTATGCAAAAAGAAAATAATAAATAAATTAATGCACAATGGAGTGGACACAAGTTAAGCAAATAGTTGGGTCAGTTCGTGCATTGTCGTATGGCACAGAAAGGAAAGCACAGTTCTATAAACCAACTCGGGTAAAGAAGTTCCATAGAAATGGGTGTATTGAGAAAAACCATCCTATGAATGCGAAAGTTCTTTTGACTATGCTATGTAAAATATAGGTCACATCAGAATATATTTTGAATCAGCCAATTCTATAATTTCAAAGAAAGAAAAGGGAAATTGCAGAATTCAACTTCCATGCATTTGGTTACAAGCATGTATGTCGTAACTGTTGAATTGTGTGAAAATCTCATCTAAAAGTTTAAGTTGCTAGAGAGAGCACACTTTTATATATTTATATCTTCAATACGTCCCCTCACGTGTTGGCCTGATTATTTCGCATCAATCAAGCACGTCGAAATTCTTTTTAATACTTGGTGGAGGTGATACTTGAATCCAAGACCTTATACCATGTTGAATTGTGAGACCATATTTTCTAAAATGTTAAGTTACTAAAAAAAATTCTCATTATTAATATTATATCTTCAATAGTCAGTAACTAAACATTTCCACCTGCTCTTTTCAACTCTGACAAGTTATTCAAGCATACATGTCCGTGTATAAATTTCTTTTCCATCACTTGAGCTTCTCCTCTTAAAACTCCCAAACTTTTCCATAATAGATTGAGCTCATGCCATCTATTTTACCAATTATCAAAGCAACAACTTGAAGGTTTTCTGTACCTCTGTCCGGCTCATGGGTCTTTTGGAGCGAACCTGCTTTATTACATCTTCAGTGCTACTAGTTGGGGCAGCTGCAACTGATAACAAATTAAACATGAATAACAATCGATATTTGTATAGCATGAAGAATCAACATTCTCCCCTTCTCGAAGATAAAAACTTGGAGGAAATAAAGCAGCTGCTGGAAATAAAAGAGAAGAAAAGACTAATACCATCATGGACATCATCCATAAAGTCAACTTCATGGACTGTACTCCAACTGCCCTGGAAATAATTAGAGTTCGAATCCAATGAGTTATTAGCCTAACTCAGCAGTTTCCACGCACTTGAACCAATAATGGCATGGATTCATAGAACTATACCTTGCCAAAATAATCTTGTGGCATGTCAAAGAATGCACCCCCTACTTCATCCTCTGGTGGTTGCAAAACATTGTTGAAGAAGATACTTATAGAATCAAAATAAAACTGTGGGCGTGGAGAGTTGTGATCACCCTCAAATTTTATAATATTCTTGTCCCCCTGCCAACATTAAGTTCACTAAACAATAAGAAACAAGATGGGGTATATTGGCATATGTCATTTCTGGACAAATAGCAATAAATACCAGTTACAAGAATGAAAAGTGTTATAAAAACACAAAGTTAACTGCTACATAGCGCATAAAGGAGCATAGCACTAGAGAACTGGCGTTCTAAACCCAGAGATCCACTTCAAGAAGAAAAAGAAACATTTGACATGCCTTTACACCCAAGAAAAAGAAACATTTGACATGCCTTTACACCCATAAAGTCTGTACAATTAAGAACAAAAGAAAAAAAGACTATCCAATTCTTTCCTTTTTCTCCTTTTTTCCGGAAGGCTGGAGGGGGTAAATTAGACAGTTACCATGTAAGCCTCAAATACACGATCAGAGTGATGGGGCTGTATAAAATCATCATCAACGGCATGACCCAGTAAAACAGGGACGAAGCATGACTTTGCCACCTACATAAAATTTAGCATAACGAAAAGATCAAAGATGGTCAATAAAAATGTTTAAAAAAATAAATGGAACTATCACTTCCAAAAACGTTCCACCCAAAAAACTTGATACTAATAGGAAAACTTCCTACAATATTTCAGTTACACACTGTTCTATTTCTCAATTGCTGAACGTTGTCAAACATAAAAAAGGTCATATTATCAAGAGTCATACGTAAAACACCTTCCCACAGGAATTACCTTAATTGTGTTCAACTCGGTTATGTCAAACTTTGCCTTTTTTAAGACCGCTCTGCGCATATATTGAATTGCAAACTTTACCTAAAATAACAGGAAAGGAGGAAGCTTAGAAAGAGCAATGAATTAGGAAGAAGACAGAACAAAAGAAGGCCACTCCTTCAGTTGCAAAGAGAAAATATGAGAATAACCCAAGAAAAGAACACGGAAAGTACATTTCAAAATGCACCAGATAAAAAAATTTAAACTCTAAAACTTTACAGTGAACTTGGGCAGCCGGATTTTGTAAGTGTCTACAAGTTCCATCATCAAATCAACCAAATCAGAGAAGGGGCTGTCTAAAACCATTCCAGCAATGGATGGATCCTCAGCACCGTACATGAGGCTGCAAAGTCGATGTATAAGTCAGTCGCTTTAATACGGCTACCAGTGACGCACAATGTTTTACCTGACCATATACAGCCAAAAACAAAAAGGTAGAAAGATTGCATGCGCATGCATCTGTCAAGTCAAGCTGATTACCGGAAGTTAATCGATATGTTAGCTCGCTAGAAAAGGAAACCCCTTTCTCGTAGCAAATAATTAACTAGCCAGAAAAGGAAAACCTTTCTCGTAACAAATAAGAAACTCTTTGAGACTGAAGGCCTAATCTTGCGCATGAAATATCTCATCTTCTCTTGATATACCTAATAAAAAATAATATTTCTCATCTAATGTGAAACTTAGCAGATCAAGACCAATTTTGACTATTCATCTGTTACGCTTGATGACTACTACTTTTTGGCCAAACAAACCTTTCTTGTGCTTAAGGGGACATGAACGACGTGAATGGTTTAGCCATACAAATTCATGATCCTAAAATACTAAATTTAAGTATGTGTTGAACGTGCTAAATGGTAGTAAGATAAATGATCTTACTACTCTTATCACAAAAAAAATGCTGTGATCCTAAAACACAGGAGTTAATATGTTTTGGAAAATTTGGCATTTCTCTTGTGCCATCCATTAACTTGCCTCATTGTGTTGTGCCTATGGCGAAGCTTGTGTATGCCTAAGAGCTGTACACAGAGTCTTGGCTCCCTAAAGCCTCACAACATCATAGCACAAGATATTTTGAATTTAAATATTCTTACTAGTACACAGTGAAAATCTTTTCAGCTAGATCCAAGTTTAAATTGCTATAGGCTTACATCAAAATGATAATAGACCAAATTAGCCTGGTATGGATGTCAAAGAACTACAACTAAACAATGTTCTATCTTTTTGTGGATTCAGCATGCCTTCAACATCTATAAAATTTGTTGCACTTTCTTTTTGGACCATCTGATAGGCAACAGCCAGTACTTTTACTCCAACATAAAAAAACTCCACCAGTGTTTCTTATATAAGAAAAACAATGAAGGCAAGTTTCACAGAATTAAAACTGAGGAAAGCGGCTCCAATCCTTTTATTTCCCTGGTTCTTCAACAATACAGATCACCAGCAGGTTATTCCACTTGCTAGATAACCCTCCTTATGCCAAGAATCTGTATGCAAAACAGTGTATATAGATGCAGCAGGATCAACAAAAAAAGTAAAGAAATTAGAGTACCTAGTAACTGCACCCATTGAACGACCCCACAAGCCAATCAAAGAAACATTGCCATCTGTCCGCAGATATTCAACCACAGCTCTGAGATCATCCTTCTGAGAAACAGACCAAAAAAATGTCAAAATTCGTTAACAATAGAAGGCAAAAGCAGTGGGCAGTTGTTGGTAGCAAGTTGTAACTCAACAAGACATCCCAGCAAAAGCAGAAGATTCTAACACATAGATCATGGCTCAGATTAACATATCACCTCCCCTCCTCCCCCCCAAAAAAAATCTCCTTCATACCCATCCCACCCCCACCCAGCTTGTCTGTAAGAGCATTTAGGTACTTGTAATTTCATTGATATGCCATATTTAAAAAAAAAATAACTTAAGCTTCTTTTGCATATTATAGACAGTAGAGGCAAAAAAGAATACGGTCGTCTGTAAAAAGTAGGCGAAGGTTACTAGAAGACAAGATTTCAATGACATAATCCTCGCTTTCTTACCACCACCCATCAGGTAAGCAGCCAATAAACAAGTTCCAGCACAAAATACAAGATGCAGCATTATTTGAAATAGCATCCACCATAACAACATGGCTTCAGCTAGACACGGGCGGATTTATAGGCAAAATTATGGGCACGTGAACCCATGATCTTTCCGCAAAATTAGATATTTTATGTACATATTTTCTAAAATTGGTATAATATTAATTGTTGGCACCCATGCTCCAAGAAAGTTGAATGGTGCACTTGGTTGAAGGTTGAGTTATTTACCAAGAGGAATAGGGATCAATTCCCACTTGATACATTTTTTCTTCCTTTTTTTAGTAGTGCACTCATGTACTAGAAATCCTAGATCCGCCTCTTGCTAGACAGGCACCAAAAGTTCATCCAAATATAATTAGAACAAATACATTAACATTCATTATAATATGGCCAAAAGATGAATAATTTCAGTAAGAGAAGATCTACAAACTTCAATTCACTAACACTCCACAAGCACAAAAAGAAAAAGGAAGACAAAAGTAGAAAATAAATCAGAACATGTTTTTAACCAATTAATCAAGCCTCACTAACCCATGGTCTTTCTAACGAGGTACTAAGCCTCATATTCTGAGATATAAATTCTTATCACTTCCATTATCTATTTATGCTGTCCATATTTGTAAACATTGCATAAAGAAAACTGTAAACAGCACTGACTTATAAACAAGGACAAGAAATAGATAAACAATGTCAGCCATGGTACCAAAAGCTAAGGCATTATATTTCAGGCTTATCAGTCGCGGATGAGGAAACAATTTTGTCTCTATTTTTTACAAGACACTGCACAGCAAATCTCAAATAATGCTTTAGACTTAACAACTAATCACCTTCTCTAAAGTATTTAAGATAGAATAGGCACACGCAGAATTTATCCAATAACTTATCAACAGGTCTAAGCTTTCATTTGAATCTCAAATAGAATAATCAGCTACTCACTTCATTCCACCCCAATGTAACGTGCTCGCCTCCAGAAAGTCCAGATCCAGAAAAGTCAAGGGTGAAAACAGTTATGTTTAGCGGCAATAATATAATAGCAGCTTCACTGGCATCTGCTCTACATCCACTGCCAAAGGATCATCCAAAACAACTTCTTAGCAAAGAAAACTATTAAATGAAGTCAAAATATAAATAAAAAAAAAGTTCTTCTCCATATAATCACTGCATCAAAGGAAAAGTACAGTAATTTTCTAGCGTAAAAACAGGAAGAGTACTACTTAACCTTCACTAACCTGTTTCCATGACAGTAAATCACACAAGGCAGTGGCTTTCCTTCTGGACGAATAAGAGGCATATAATGGGTACATTTAAGAACATCATCCCTACTATTTTTAACCTGCAAATCAGTAAGGCCATTAAAGAAAAAATGACTAAATAGTAACTCGACAGACAATAGGTGAACTGTTCGATAACATTAGCAATGACCTAAAGAATTGTACATAAGTCTTTAAAAGAAGTACTGTCTATAACAACTTAAACACTCAGATGAGGTAGTCACACAATCCATCATGGTATCAGAGCGCATACATAGGTTGTAAGTTCAAGTCACCGCAATCCATTTCACCAGCTTGATCCAATAACAAAAATAGTAAAAACTATAGCTTTTATATTAGGTAACCACACAATTCTTCGGAGTCCATATAAACAAACAAATAAAAGGCAGCCCGGTGCACTAAGCTCCCAGTATGCGTGGTTGCCAAGGCTCCCCTTCATAACAAGCAAATAAAAAGACCACAAACAAAAAGACAAGATCAACCTCTATTAATTTCCTATAGCCATAAGTGAAGGATTGAACTTTTTCCTGAAATGATTTTTGTAATCTTTTAATAAGGATCTCAAGGTGTGCTTTCTCCATGTTGGCATGATATGTTGACGATTATCGGGAAAGCCTCACATAAAGGGAGTCATCAGATAATCTTTGCTTCCGAAGTTAATTCTTGCCCCCGCCCACTTCAATTTACATGTTTTAACAGAAGTCTGCCAACTCTTCACGTAAGGCAGTTCCATGTGGCATCATGATGCGATCGCTTCTCCATTCCCCAGCTCCTCACAGTATTTCTCTGCTATGACTTTACTCCATAAAGCATGTTCCTCTATGGACATTACTTATAGCAATTGTTGTGTTGCTTTGCAACACATCATTCTAGAGAATAACATGCCTCTTTATCTGTCAGGTTCTACAACCTAATTATGAAGAGCAAAGGGATTTAACACAGTTTCCATGGATATTGATGTTACAAAATAGTATTCAGATTTTTTCTTTCCATCAAAATTAACAAAGTAAAAAGTTCCAGCTATTAAGTTTAGCTTATATTCGTTGTTTTTTTTTTTTGAAAGGGTAATATATTTGTATTAAATATGAATATATTCGTTGTTTTACGAACATCACTTTATATTTGAATACATAAGTCTGAAAATTGATCAGATAACTATGATTCATTGTTTTGCTCCCATATAATATTATATCTGTCTCTACATGATCAACTTTCATAGTAGTAAATGTACTTCACTGCCACTTTCTAGTTTTCCAACGTCAACTGTCTCATATTAGTTCTCCAACTCATTACTTGGTTATTAACAACACAGAGCCAAATGAAGAATACACGTAAACACGGGTAAAGAAATACATAGTCTATTCAATGAGTAAATAAATTATTTTTTTGATAACTAATACCAGCTCTGGGAAACATAAACAGAAAATATATGAACTAGTAAATAAATTAATTGGAAATAGTCTATTTAATGACTAAATAAAACATTGACTTGACCTAAATTTCAGAGAAAAATAACTGAAAATAACAAGATATTAATTACCAACGCACTCACCTCCAGATCCTTCCTTTGGTACCATTTCCCTTTAAGCATGAATTCTTCATCTAGTAGATCATTTTTAGGATCATACTCAGCCCTGCAATCCACAGGAAGTAGAATCGTTAGTTTAAGATTAGCATCTATTATAGCACAATAATTAGAAGAAGAAAATGGGTATAGGTCAGTTGTCAAGGCATGTTATAAGGAACTCAATTATCTTGGCAGTAACGGATGGCAGTAACCTCAATTATCTTGCTTAGAAACAGATATTTCGCTGCTTCAAGCCCCTTTCCAAATCCCATTGTAAAAGAGTAAAAATTCCTCCAGGTAATTTCTGGAAATACCCTTCCCAGAGTTAGTTCTTTCGTGTACCACAATGGATGAGTCAGAACCCTAAGTCTAAGAAATATCTCCTCCTTTATATTCTTAGGTTCAGAATTAACTACAGAAATTGGAAAGAAAATGAGATACAAAGAATTTCAACAGAAATTTCGTAAACTGAAAAGAGGATTCCCACTATATGACATGGATATGTACTAAATATGAAGTGCTCATCACCTATGCAACATGTTTGCATTCCAAAAGTAGCACGATAATGTACCTCTTTTAGTTTCTTCGATCGGGAAAAGCAATACTAAGAGACACTTCCAAATTCCAAATTATAGAAACACGCCTTAAACACACAGCCATTAGTCTCAATGGCGGCTCCAATCAAAAGATGCATTGTTCAATATAAAATAAAGAGGAAAGCCGATACATTTCACAAATTTTGCAAAATAACTTGCAGAATTTTCATTTGTTTGGATTAAAAACCCTATAGTTCAAGTCTCAAAAGTATATCAGGCCCTAAATAAACACAAAAAAATGACCTGTCAATTTCAAAATTTTAAGGAAATTCAGTACTTGAGTGATTACGATTTACACCTAACTTTTCTGCACATGAAGTACAAAACAATAACTCCTAAGATCAAGAAACCTAAACCAGACAAGTGCACAATAAAGAGAAGCATAAAAAGTAGACCCCCACATCCGCAAATTCTCCAGATAACCCCACATCAAATTAAAACTAACCCACGTCATAATTTGGGAAAAAGATTCAAACATACAAACATAAGCACAAAAGCAAACATATTTTGCATACTTCCTGCAATTTCAATTAGCAAAGTAAGACACTACACTAAATAGAAAACCCCCACATAAAATTAGAACTAACCCACATCAGAATTTGGGATAAAGATTCAAACTTTACAAAAATAAACTCAAAAGCAAACATATCTGCATACTATAGCAATTAAAATTAGCAACCAAAAAAAAAACCAAAATTGGAAAAGGGGTTTATCAAGATCATACCTTGGGGGTCGAATAATAAAGTTGACAAGTTGTTCCATAAATTTTAGGCAATTCAAGATCTTCTTTCTCTCTCCCAAATAGGAAAGTGTATTAAGTTTCTTGAATCTTTTTCTATTTTTGTGATAAATATTGTTAAATAAAAAAAGTGTTAGAGGGCGGAAATTTTAGGGGAGAAATGAAGCAGCAC